CAGTAACCTTCCATTTCATGTAACCTACTTACCATTATCACCTGAACGATTTATTTGTTCATTCCTAGTATAGTCTTATACTTCTTTCAGAAATGTCAAATCATACCTTTATGGGAAACCCCTTTGCATTACTCAGCTTTGTCACTGTGACCAAAAACAAAATACCCAGAGAGAACAACCTAGTGGAGGAAAAGGTTTTAGAAATTTAGCCTTTCATCATCAGACTCCATAGCTCTGGGCCCAAGGTGAGGCAGAACATTACGGTATAAAGACTTGGTGGAGGAAACCTGTTGAGTTGGTTACCCATACAGTGTTCAGTTGGGGTCCAAAATAGAGAGAGATGAGTAAAAGTAACAGGCAAAGCACAAATGTATTGAAGATAAAGGTAAAAATAGCATTCTGTAAGGTAGAGCAAAGTGGGCTGAGCGAGGAAAGAGGCTCAGAGCCCAGATGTCTGGGAATTCTTGTCCTATATCCTGAGCTGAAAGGTGTTCTCTTCCCTGTTGGACCTGATTGAAGACCTTGCCCCATTTGCTCTCATTGGTTACTGTATGATACCTGACTAGAATACTGCTCACATTACCCCCGTGGTTACATTCGAATACTGAACTTATGACAGAAGTTGCCATGAGCAAGAAGTCCTCGGTGTTGTGAGATGCCATGTTAATGGGACTTACAGTAAATAGGGACATGATTCATGTCTCTGCCTTGCACTCTAGCTGGCATTTTTCTTGCATACTTCCTTTGGACATCACATCATGGTGTCCCTGAACTCCTACCTAACAGGTTCATGGCAGCCAGGAACAGTCATGCCTCCAGTGACACACTTCCTCCACCACACCCCACCTGCCTATCATCACTGCCCTGTGCAGTAGTCCTTTCAAATTATTAAACCATCAAGTGAACTCATCCAGTGAATTGGGTACAGCGCTCATAGTCTAGACATTCCACATCTGAACATTTCTGTATCATCCCCCACATAAAATTTTTGGGGAATCTAACATATAACAACTTTTATTGATGGCTAAAATAAACTTTATTGTCAACTATAGCACAGCAATTATAAAATTCACTTGTCTCTAATCTTGTTATTTCTACTTATTTCCTAAATTGCTTAGGTCCACACCTTTCATTTTTAACCCCTTCACTGAGATATTCCATAAAGTGCCAAAGATTTCTCACTTTAAATGTAGTCTTCATATGTTCTCTTGAGTTCACCTAAGTATGATACATTGATCTCTATTTTCACCTACATAACTGTGTCATGTCCGTAAAGTTAATAAGACCTATAAAGAACAACACAGACCTATAAAGAACAATATTCACTAATAATTACAACTAATTAGCTATTTCTCCAAGCCTCAAGTAAGCAAAAGAGGATTGATATCATAATTTTAAATATTTCAGAAATTGTGTTCACATAAGAATTTGTTTTCAAGATCTCCTAGAGCCATATCTAGGAGGCTTTAATTTCTTGACCTTAATACAATCATTGCTATTTCTTCAACCCAGAGAGACTATTACGCACAAGGGAGTTAATGAGAGTTTCATACAAAAAGAACAAAAAAGGAAATTGTAATTGCTCTTACATCCCAACAGCTCATCCCTGGTGAAAGTAAATCTTGAGGGAGCTTCCACCTATATATTGTTATGATACCTCTTATGTCTCAAATCTCTAGATAAAAATGACATCATTTTGGTGTGTGTCTTAGGTAGTATTATGAAGAAGCTGCAAGAGAAAATCATAGGATTCGATTTATAATATGCAATCAACTACTCAGGAACAGATCTGCATCATGATCCCCTAAGTGAATGAGCACAAGGAGTCAGTTTTGAACTACTTCCATCAACATCACCAAGAGCTATTGCCCTCAGAGGCACTTGATCTTAAACTGACATGAGACTCAGACCCACATTTCCAAGCAGAGAAACAGTGAGTACTTCAATTCCAAGTGTCCTAGAAACTCTCCATCTCAGGTAGAAGCACCTTCATGAAGTTGAGATTCCTCACAATATTACAGTGGTTTCTTACATATTATTCATCTTTTCTGTGTCATATCAGAAAGCAGAGAATTATCTTTTACACAATCCAACTCATACTGCTTCCAGGTATGTTCAGTGGCTGGAGGGATTTGGATGTTAAGACAAAGTGTATCTCATTGATGTAGCTCTTCCTCTCATTTATTTGTTATAGTCTGATCCTAATTTTTGTTACTAATCATATGGATCCTAGGTGTAATTATCTTGATCTCAATCTTGAGTATTTCTTGGTAATTATAATTTGTTAAACACCATTATAAAATAGAGTACCCGAAATTAAGCACAGTTCACCAGATGCAGTTATCTTATATCTATCACTACCCTTGTTTTGGGTACTCTGTTACTTTTCAATAAACCCTTTGGAATTATTGGTATTTTTAGGGGCTTTTCTGGATGTTTTGAAAATGAAAAACTGTTAGGCTTCTCAACTTTAATTATTGTTCAGATTCACAATACATTTCCATATTCAGATGATGCTTAAAAAGACTTCCTTGATGCTATTCTGGGCTAACACTGCAATATCTGTGTCCCTATGTGACAAGCCCAATTCTCATAGTCATCTATGTGTCTAGTCTGCAGCCATCCTGCCCTCTTTTGAATGCAACATTCTGAAGGACAGACATTGTACATTACACGATTCTTCAGTCTGAATATCACAATGAAACTTTTGCTTCTCACAAAAGCTAAATTTGCTTTACTAAAAGTAAAAATCCCAACAGTATCTTCTGAAATCATTAATACCATATGAATTTTGATTACTATTTAGTTTAAACTTGACAGTGTTTTGTGTGGTGCCATGCAAGTTAATTGATGAAATCTCTTTCTCAAGACTATATTAAAAGTCCTATGGAATAGTAACCAAAGATTTTTCACTTTAAGTGTAGTCTTCATATATCCTCTGAGTTCCCCTAAGTATGATACATTGGTCTCATATATTACTTGGCTTTAAAGAAGAGTGAAATTATGGTATTTGCCAGTAAATGGTTGGATTTGGAGAATATCATTAAATTTGTTTCAATTAGTTATACATGGCAGTAGAATGCATTTATGGACTTTGATATATCATACATATATGGGATATAATTTCACCTGTCATGTCCATAAAATTAATAAGAGAGATTTATCAGTTTAAAAAATCAGGATAATGAGAAGTGTCATTATGTTACTATATCAACTTAGTAAAAACCTAATGAATCACAAATTTTGGGTATACTTGAGCAGTTTTTTGGTGGTTCTGAATCATCACTGCTTTCTTTTATTAGAATTCAAAGCCATTTTCTTCCCCAAAGGATTCTGTCCAATTGATACAACGTGTATGAACCTAGTGGATGCTATGCCAAATGAAATGTCAGTTACAAAAGAACAAATATTGAGTGATTTCACTTGTATCAGGTATTCATAATAGTAAAACTTATGGAAGCAGAGGTACCATAATGGTAACCAGAGACTTAGAGGTGGGTGAAATGGGGACTAGTTATTCAATAATTAATAATCATCAGTTATGTTAGATGAGCAAGACCTAAAGATGTTCAACAGAGTATGGTATCTATAGCTAAAAATATGGTATTTTGCATTTCCAAATCAAAGGATGTTAAACCTCATAAGTATTTTTACCACAAACAACAATAACAGCAACAACAAAAAAACAAGAACAAACCAACAAAAGAATACAAAGTGACACAGGATATTTGGGGAGGTGATAGATATGATAATTACCATGATTATGGTGATTGTGTTATTAGTACATGGCTATGTCCAAACTGATCAAATTACATTCATTAAATATAGACAGTTACTTTCATATCAATTCTACCTCAATTAACTGTTAAGAAACAGAGAAATCTTTTCTCCCTTAAGCTGTTTTGGTTTTTTGCTTTTGGTTCATTCATTTCTAATATGGTTCAGGCAAATGGAGGCTAAGACTACTCATGCAACACAGTTTACTTGGGAATGTCCCACAAAGGTCCAAGGCTTTAAACCACCCAAGGTATTAGCAGAGCAGGACAGGAAGCAGTAGGAATAAAGAACATGTGTCCAATTCAGACATCAGGGGCAAACTGTTGCCCTGGGACCAGTCAGATACCAAAACCTGCAGTCAAAATTATAGTGATTGGGAAGCAGGTAATGGAACTGCTTGCTGTGTTGGTGGTTAGCATACAGTGGGATGCCTTGTGAGAAAACAGGAACACAGAAAAAAGTTGGATTATGAAAAGATATATCTTTCTTCATTTCATGCTACTGTAGCAGAATACCAGGGACTGAGAAATGGATAATGATCAAAGGTCTGGGAAGTCCAAGATTGAGGGATCACATTGGTGAGTGTTTTTATGTTGTATTCTCTTATGGTGGAATGATCAAGGACAAAGGAACACACACAGGAAAGAGAGAGAAGAGGCTGAATGTAGAAACTCACAACTGTGATAACTCACTCACTCTCTTTTATTTTTATTTTTTTAATTTAATTTGTTTTAATTAGTTATACAGACAGTAGAATGCATTTATGGACTTTGATATACATACATGAAATATAATTTCTCATATTTTTGAGTGTACATGTTGTCAAATCATATTGGTCATGAAGTCACATATGTACACACAGTAATAATGTCTGTTTTATTCTACTATCTTTTGTATCCCCACATGCCCTCCCCTTCCCTCACATCCTTTTCTCTACCTAATCTAATGTAATGCTATTCTTCCCTAGTGCCCCCCACATTATTGTGAATTAGCATCTGTATATTATAAAAACATTCAGACTTTGGTTTTGTGGGATTGGCTTATTTCATTTAGCATGATATTCTCCAACTCCAACCATACTGCTTTGATTATCTCATTCCTTGCATTTACATAAAGATTTTTTAAATCAGCCTGTCTACATCTGAGAAAAACAATCCTGGAATTTGATAAGAATTGTACTACATTTGTAGATAAATTTGGGTATTTCTACCATTTACCCTAGGATGAGGATTTTTGTTTTGTTTTTGTGCCGTGGGATTGAATCCAAGGGCACTTAACCACTGAACTACATCCCAGACCTTTTTACTTTTTATTGTGAGATAAGGTCTTGTTAAGTTGCTTAGGGCATCACTAAGTTGCTGGAGCTGGCTTTGAACTTGTGATCCTCCTGCCTCAGTCTCCTGAGTCCCTGGGATTACAGGCATGTGCCACAAATGCTAGCTAGTTTGAGTCTTTTGATTCATGAACATGGAATTTTTTATGAATGGCTTCAATTCCATTTGACATTACATAGTAATTTTGTGTGCAATGTCTTCCATAAAATATATATATTTTTATTTTTTGTTATTACAAGTCCATATTTCACTGTTCAATTAAAGTTTGTAGAAATACAATTGACTTTTTATATTGGTCTTATATGCTACCACCATGTTAGAATTTTCATTATTTTAAAGGTCCTTTATGCAAAATCTATGCAATTTTTCACCTTGAATATTATGCCACTTACAAATGTGCAAATGGAGAGAGTAATACTTCTTGTTTTACAATCTGGGTGTCCTTTAATTTAATTTTATTTTTTCCGTAATTGCCCTGGCAAGAAATTCTAGCAGTGTAGAGAGTGGACATCATGTCTTGTTCATTATCTTAGAGGCAAAGACTTTTTGTCTTACACCAATGTGACTATGTGTTTCTTGTGAATGCTTCGGATACATTATTATTTTATTTTGTTATTTATCAGAGTAGTTTTGTGGGAGTTCAGGGACTGGGTAATACTAATATCAAATCTTAAAGCAAAGACTACAAATAGGGACAGTTCTGATATTAATTTACATGTCACATATTCCTGTGATCCTACTGTCCTTGACTGCTAAAAGGCAGGGTCAGGAAAGAAATGGAGACAACTGTCTGCAAAGACTTGAACTTTGTTTCTCACAAAGTGATTGGATAACAGATGCTTTGTTCATAATTTTTCTTCTCTTCGTACTTAGGATTCTCAGGAGAAAATGGCAGAGGGAAATCATTCTACAGTGACTGAGTTCATCCTGGTTGGATTAACAGACAAAGCAGAGCTCCAGTTGCCCCTCTTCCTTCTTTTCCTAGGAGTCTATATGTTCACAGTGGTGGGGAACCTGGGTATGATCACACTGATTGGGCTCAGCTCTCATTTGCACACCCCCATGTACTATCTCCTCAGCAGTCTCTCCTTCATTGACCTCTGCCAATCCACTGTGATTACTCCCAAAATGCTGGGGAACTTTGTGATAGAGAGAAACACCATCTCCTATGCTGAATGCATGACTCAGCTCTACTTCTTTACTATTTTTGCAATTGCAGAGTGTCACGTGTTGTCAGCAATGGCATATGACCGCTATGTTGCTATCTGTAACCCCTTGCTTTACAATGTTACCATGTCTAATCAAGTCTGTTCCTGGATGGTAGTTGGGGTGTATAGCATGGGCTTGATTGGTGCCTCAGCTCACACTGTTTGCATGCTAAGAGTGCTTTTCTGTAAGGATAATATAATAAACCATTATTTCTGTGATCTTTTTCCACTACTGGAGCTCTCCTGCTCCAGTACATTTATAAATGAAGTAATAGGTCTGTGCTTAAGTGCATTTAATATCTTTGTTCCAACCCTGACAATCCTTAGCTCCTATGTCTTCATCATAGCTAGCATCCTACGCATTCACTCCACTGAGGGCAGAGCCAAAGCCTTTAGCACATGCAGCTCCCATGTCTCAGCTGTTGCTCTCTTCTTTGGTTCTCTAGCATTCATGTACTTACAACCATCATCAGTCAACTCCATGGATCAAGGGAAAGTGTCCTCCGTGTTTTACACTATTATTGTGCCCATGCTGAACCCTCTTATATATAGCCTAAGGAATAAAGATGTCAAAAATGCTCTATATAAGCTCTTTGGAAAAAGAAATTTCCCATAAAGACAGGATTTTGCTTAGGAAAAAGTTTGGTAAGGAAGTTTGGTAAGGAAATAGTGCACTGGGAACAATAAATATCCACAAGTCATCAGATTGCTTCTAGTAGATGATTATTTGTAAGAAAGGTACCAATGGTAAGACTGGATTCACAAGATTTGAACATGAAAGGCAGCACCATGCTAGGATGCCCAGAGTCTATTTACCTAGCATGACCTGGATTATATCTAAATACTTTTGAAGTTCTTCAACATCATCCAGATGGTTGATTATATTTTACATGTTTGGAAGATGAGTCTTTATGGACCATATTCACTTTCGTAATTCAGAGAATAAATATATTTCATCATTAACTGTGGTGAGCCGTGTTTGTAGACCGTTGCCGCCATTAGAAGACGGCGCCGGTCTCCGTTGTGGATCTTGGTAAACAACTCCTTATTAGGAAGAGTTGGCGCACTGTCCCTCAGCACCCTATGAGAAAACCCCGCGTGGCAGCTTTGGATTGGACTTGAGTAAGCTTTATTAGGCTATGCTTGGGCGCTCGGCGGGGGGTCACTAGAAGTTGATACATGAAACAAGGCCTGAATAAACTGCTGAAAGAAGAATCCTGTGTCGTGTTTTCCCTTGCCAGCGAGGGGTCGCGACAATAGGTGGCCCGGACGGGGAATTATATTCCTCGAACCCAGGATCCAGAACTTTCAGCAGTCAGGGTGGTGCACCGGTAAGTTCCCAGGTAAAGTGGGAATCCGCAAGCAAATAGCGGGGCGCTCTCTCTGTAAATAGAGAGAGAGCGGGAAAAAGGACGCTCCCCTGTAAAAGGAAGAGAGTGGGGAATTCATAGAACGGAACGCTCCCCTGTAAAAGGAAGAGAGCGGGGATTTTTGTACTTTCACTTTCTTTATAGCTTTAAAAACATTATGGGCATTGCTTCTTCAAGCCCAATTTTGTTGGCCCTAGATGGGTTGCTACGTTCAAAAGGACTTAAGGTAAAGCAGAGCACTTTGCAGATGTTTTTGAGAGAAGCTGCCGGGGCCGCGGCCGCGGTCTGGGCATGAGGATGGCGGTGGGCTCAGTCAAGATGCAGCTGCCGTGCGAGAACCCGGCCCTGGCCGCGGCGGTGGCGGCGGCGGACAGCGCTCTGCGCCACAGTCCCAGCGCCCGCGAGCCGGAGCGCGAGCAGCCGCCGGCGTCGCTGCGGCCGCGGCTGAAGGACCTGCCTGCACTGCTGCGGAGCGGGCTCACGCTGCGGAGAAAGCGGAGCGCCGCCGGGGACGGGACCGGACGGAGCTGGTGTGGGTTCCAGAACGCCTGACAAGAAGAGTCCCAACAAATACATCTGAGTTTAATATAACCACTTTGGCCATTACTTCCCAGGTGTTAATTCCGTTGTCTCCTTCTAATGAGACCTCTAATGCCACTCATTTTATGGCTTCTCCTTATTGCACCCCTGAGTATGGCTTCCCTCCTATATTTACACCTTGCCAAGATCACTCTTGGGAGAAACATCAGGTCGCCAAAGGTTTTTCCCTTTCCCCCTCTCTCAAAAGGTACTTGTATAATTCTTCCAACAATAATTCCTCTATAGGAGCGGGTTGGTCCTGGTTTCAATGGTTGATTTCCAATGAAAAGGGGGCCACAGCCGACATCTCCGCTTTGGCTCAATTACGAGAAGTCCAAAGTTGGCTGTTTAATGTTTCTGGCAGTACCCAAGACTCGGGGTGGGATAGGAGACTCAAATCTATTTCACACAATGCACTATTAGGTAATGCAACGTTACCCTCTGCAGCAGTCTGTCTCCAATCTCCGTTTCTGTTCCTTTTGGCTAATGTTACATCACAGGGGATGCTTAATTGTTCTAATACTACCTGTTACTTGTCTGAGTATTGGAATGGATCCTGGCCTATGGCAGTGGGTATGAAAATTCCAACTTTTGTCCCGATCCCGGTTACTGCGGATCCAGAGTCATTTCCTATTGTTGAACTGATTACAGCCCGTAGAGATTTTGGAATTACGGCAGCTATAGTGACAGCTGTGGCAGTGTCTGCTGCTGCAGCAGTTACAGCTGGAGTAGCCATGGCCAGCCAGGTTCAAACTGCTGCCACTATTAATCAGGTTATTCAACAAACATCCACCATACTTGAGTCTCAAAGTAAAATTAATCAACACATTTTATCTGGGATTTTGGCTGCTAATCAAAGGATAGATCTGCTTCAAGCTCAAGTTGAGGAATTGTCTGACCTAGTACTTTTGGGTTGTATTGATCAACGTGCACATTTATGTATAACCTCTGTCAGATTTAATGATTCCAGGAATGCCTCCCGCATCATCGGGGAATATCTATCCGGAACCTGGTCCATGGAAGCAGAAAATTTGATCCAGTCTCAACTAACTCAGATTGCTGTTTTGAATAGCACCCGTGTCGAACCAATGACTTTGGGTCAATTCACCAGTTGGCTATCCTCTGCCTTTTCCTTTTTTAAGGAATGGGTGGGAGTGGGCATTTTTGGTGCTATGTGTTGCTTCGGTGTTGTGCTTTGTTTGTGGCTTCTCTGTCGCCTTAAAACTCTCCATGCGCAAGAGAAGGCTATAATCGTACAGGCTCTTGCGGCCTTAGAAAATGGCATTTCTCCACAAATCTGGCTTGCACATCTTAAACAGTGATTTCTGGGCATGGTCATTGCACCCCAAGTTATTTTCACATTGCACTGGGATTGACATGCCCTCTTCTTTATGCTCTCCCAGTGCTGAATAGCCTTTGCACTCTGCAGGTCTTGTTACCATTGCACGCAGATGGGTTTCAGGACTGGTGTTTCTTCTCTGCTATAAAATCTATACCTTCCTCTGGGGCTTAGGGATAGTGTTGCCAACTTAATTTTTGTCATTACTACCAGGCTACCTGTGTTATCCTACTTCTCGCCGTCGTCACGATGCAGGATGCAAGGCAAGGCACTGCACTTGAGTGATCCCTCAACGGACCTCAAGGAAAGCATGTCCTATTGCATACGGGTTTGGCGTCCACGCCCCGTCCCACGAAAAAAGGCGTCGGCTGATATGGTGTCAGATCTAGGGAAGGCGCCTCCTTAGGACTGAGCCATACATTGCAGCCATGTTTGCACAGTGAGATAGGACCTCTACTTTCGCCTGCATTGTTTTTTAAGAGATAAGGGGGAACTGTGGTGAGCCATGTTTGTAGACCGTTGCCGCCATTAGAAGATGGCGCCGGTCTCCGTTGTGGATCTTGGTAAACAACTCCTTATTAGGAAGAGTTGGCACACTGTCCCTCAGCACCCTATGAGAAAACCCCGCGTGGCAGCTTTGGATTGGACTTGCGTAAGCTTTATTAGGCTATGCTTGGGCGCTCGGCGGGGGGTCACTAGAAGTTGATACATGAAACAAGGCCTGAATAAACTGCTGAAAGAAGAATCCTGTGTCGTGTTTTCCCTTGCCGGCGAGGGGTCGCGACAATTAACCTTTGGTATTTCCATTGATTTGTGTACCTGGCCTTTTAAACTATTAGTAAATATTTTTGAAATTTTGATCTTTAAAACAAATCATTCTAATATTTGGATAATTAAAAATATAATTCCTAATACTTATGAAGTTTGTAGAACTACATTAAGGAATATGGAGGCATATAATTGGTAATAAAATAATTTCTACCTAGAAAAAGATATCACAGGGCAAGATATTGCCAACAATATACAAGAGTGGAAATACCATGATTATTTTGACATGTATTTATGCAACTTTCTTTACTGCACAGTATCAGGACTGTGCTACCTCTTCTTTTTCATGATAATTCCATACTTGTTTTTACTAATCCCCCATATCATGTTTTATTCCACTATTATTATATAATTTCTGATTATTTGTCTCATCTAACTTATAAAAACACTGCATATTTTTCCTTCACAGGTGTGACATAAACACTTCAATGTCATGTCAATTTAAGTCACCTTATAAAGCCAAAAGTACAACGAGAGAGAGGAGGTTATGCACTTATTGAAAACTAGGAGAAAATCCTGCATTTTCCATGTACTAATCAGTTTCCATGTACTTCATGCCCTGTTATTTTTCCTACCAATATATCCTTATGTATGCACATATATCTATACATAAGTATATATATATGATTCCTATTGTGTATATGCTATTGTGTACTGCATGTATTTATGTGTACATTGCATATATCTTGTTTAGCTATGTTTTATAAGGTTTATGTGTATGTAATTTTGATTCTATTGCTGTAGATATTAAACAATCAACAAATAGTATATTTTACATATTGTTGAGTATCTGATAAATTTATCTTTATTAAATTTTACATTTCGCAGCATTTATGTATGCACTTATACTGTTAAACATGTTTAAAAGAATAAAAATAACTGAAATTACTATAGTAATTTTGCTGAATATCATGCATTTAAAATAGTAACATTACTGTCTGATAGATTCCATGGAAGATCTACCACACACACAAAAAGTAGTTTGTCTTTCATTGCTCTGACACAAACACACATTATTTCCAAAACAAAAGAATTCCTCTTACAATGAGTTTTTTTCAGAGTTATTTGGGATATCACAGAAACAAATGTTAGGTAAATCATGCATTACCGTCTGTATTAGTTTGGATTATCTTTGGTTGTGCATTATACAAACATGCGTGTGCGCACACACACACACACACATGGTTGCTTTAAGTCAGTAAATGATTCAGGGTTAGTTCCGTGACTCATCATAGATGTAAGCTTATTTTAAAATATTGTTCTATACCATTTCTTGTAGTATCCATCTGTGTTCTCAATGTCTCCAGATCCATCCTTCATATCCACCAACTGACCACCAGACAGAGACATATGGACAGAGAAGGGAATGTCTCCTGATCTGTAGAGCACAGTCTGACAGATTCCTCAATCTGTATCTCTTTGAAAAGGTCGAACTCACATAGATAAATATAGTGACAAAAACATCATGAATATGTAGATAACAGTGTGTCAATCTTAAAC